GATAAGGTCACATTCTGAAGTACCGGGGTAAGCACTTCAACCCAAGAGTATCGAGGGGACAGAATTCAAAGCATGATGCCCATATAGGTTGGAAACCTCATCATACCTTATGCTTTCCAATGTTATACATAATTTAAAGATCTTACAATAAAATAATCTATTTTGTACTATGTTCCCTATTCACTATTTTTGTTTTCCTTTTCACTTGGGAAAATCTAAATTTCCCTCTAAGACCACTTGCCATTGGTCTGAAAAAAGGCCTTGAGGATTTCTTTAAAAGTTGGTCTTCTAGGGGCCGGGAGATAGCTCAGTAGAATAAGCATTTGCCTGGCAAGCACAGGATCCTGAGTTCAATTCCCAGTACTGAAAAAAAAAAAAAAAGTTGGTCTTCTTGATATGAATCATCAGATTTTCCTTCATCTGAGAAAGTCTTTATTTCACTTCCCTTCCTAAAGGCTATCTTCACTGGATAGAGCATCATCGTTGACAATTCTTTTTATAACAGACTTTAAAAAAATGTTTTTCTACTGCCTTCTGGTCCCAGTGCTTCTGACTAGAGATTTAGTTATTTGAATTTTTTCCTATATGTAATTTAGTATTTATCCGGCTGCTTTGATGGATTTTCCTTTACCTTTATTTTTCAGCAGTTTTGTTTATAGCATGTGGGTATCAGTTTTCTTGAATTTGTTGTTTGGGTGTTGCTTCTGGAGGCTATCAAATTTAGGGAGATTTTGGTCCTTAGTTCCCACAATCCTGTTCTTTTTCTCTGACTCCAGAGCTATGAGCATCAGACATGTTTTGGCATCGTCCTGCAGGTCTCCAAGGCTCTGTTCTTTGCTATCATCTTCTCCACATTTATTGTTAAAAGATTGGATACTTCCCATTAGCCTAGCTTCAAGTTCATGTATTCCTTCTCTTTTTCATTTCTGCTATGTATTTGAGTCCACCTAGTGGAATCTGTTATGCTTTGTGTATTTTTACTTCTAAAATTCACATTTGGTACTTTAGACCTTCTGTCTCGCTGCTGTAGCATTCACTCCAAGAGCGCGGCCGTTGCTTATTAGAGCCTGACAATGGCAGCTGCTTAAGCTTTGTTTTCCTAATAATTCCAGCCATTTGTGTCATTTTAGATTTGACATTTGTTGTCTATTCTCTTATAGGACACAGAAATTTTCCTTTTTATCTTGAGTAGTTTGGGGATTGTATCCTAGACGTAATGCGTGTTATAAAACTCTGAGATTATACCCTGGAGGGAAGATTCAGGGTTTCGTTTTAGCAAGCAATCAGCCAGTCAGTCCAGGCCACAAGTACACACCCACTCCGTCCCACCTGTACAGCCCCTAGTAACAAATGTGGAGCCTGAGCAGTGTCTACACTACATTCTCCTAGCCTTGGTGTCCTATTTAGGGTAATAGCCACACACACAGTGATGCTCAGGACTAAGCCCCCAAATTTATGGCTCATGTTAAGTGTTCTGTTTGTAGTGTCTTAACTATCTTCTACTTCCTAGATGTTTCCTTCTTCATCTTTTGCCCTAAACCCAGGTTTTGGTGTCACTGTTCTGCTAAGCATTTTCTGAAAAATGCACAACTTTGAGACAAATAGCAATGAGGGTGCTCTTTGTACTCTTGGAACAAAAATAATTTTGGTTAGAGAGAAGGGATCCCTCCTTTCCCTTAGAAGTCTAGACACTTGCGCAGTTACCGCTGGTGTTCTAGCCAGGTCTGCTTAAGTATTGCCTGGGGACAGGGACAAAAGCACACCCTCTACCTGACCCAAGCACAGATCTTCCCACCTTTCCTGATTCACAGCATCACCTTCTCTTTTCAGCCTGCACACAGGTACTGCTGCCAGCTGCCTTGGAGGGCACACCGAAGACGCTGGGCTTTTAAAGAATGTTCCCACCCGAGCTGCTTCACTGGTGCTTCGGGCTCTCACTTCCTTTCCCAATCTGCCTGTCTGCCACTCACTCTTCAGAGTCCTGAGATAGCAGCTCTGCACACTCTGCCCAGTGTCTGTGGCTGCCTTCAGGGAAAGACTAGGTAGTCTGCCTTTGCAGAAATTGGAACTTGTGTTGACTTTTAAGGAGGTAGATTAGAATATTATTTGGGAATACAATTATGCCAAAATATAAAACATTTTCAGGAAAATAAACTATTCAAAGGGAAGAGCAATTGGGACAAGGGAAAGGAGAAAAGAAAGCACAATTAGTGCAGGATAACTGTACTACTGATTTCTGCTGGTCTACTGAAAGGAGCAGTTAATGCTTAATTTTTTTTCTCTCTTCTTTATATTTTTTTTTACCAATTTTGCATGCTTGTATCTCTGAACAACTAATTTGAAGACAAAATATGCAATATACCATTGTTGAATTCCTATCATTTTGCTTAGTGAAATTCTGTATTTTTTCTGTTTTTACTTTACTATTTTTTATTTTCTTAAAAAGTAAATGTAACCAATATGCATCATAAACACATACTAATAAATAATTAAAAGAGGAAAAAACTATTTTCTCTAAATTATACCAATGAACTCAATTTTATAAAACAATGCAGTATTATTTAGCCATAAAAAAAGAGTAAACATGAGATATTTATAGGTAATTGGATATAACTTGAGTCTACACTTATAAGAGACATAAATGAAACTTACATGTGCAAACATTGTATTGTCTCCCTGGTATAAGAAATTGAAAGAGTAAATAAAAGACCAAAATGTAAATAGATATTGGGAAATGGGAAGGAATTGTTCAAAAGGAAAGAAGAACTAGGGTAGGGAAAGCAGGAAGGAAGGAAGAAAAAGCAAAAAAAATATACAATGAGTTTTACTACTATTTTCTCATAGTTCAGTGAAAAGAAAGGTTTGTGCTAGTATTATTTGGAGAACTTTTGATGCTCATATCTTGCATTTTAAGTAACTACTTCAAAGATAACAATATGCAGTGTATTAACTATTGCTGTTCTCCTGTTATTTTGCTATGAAATTTTGTTTTATTTTTTCCATAAAATAAAAAATAAGCAATTTTCATGTTTAAAGAAAAATTATAGTTCTCCAGAAAAGATTGCAACCCAGCATGGTTTCATTATCTAGACTAACCAAGTTTCAGCAAGAATACACAGCTGAGATTTTACATTTAGGTTTCTAAAGCTAAAAACATGGACTAAAAAGTAAGTATTCTCATCATGAAAATAGTAACAATGGGAAGAATTGCATGTGTCAATTAGCTGAATTTAGTTATTCCACAATGTATATAAAAATCTCAAAAGATCATTATATGATAAAAGTATTTAATGTTATCTATTATTTTAAGTCTAGAATTTATTAATAAGTAATGTGTATTCTTGTTTCTAACATCTTTGGAATTTCAGTCCAGACAGAAAATTTTTATCAAAAATGCTTGAACTCTTTTAATTATTTATTAGTGTGTGTTTGAATTATAAGACTTATAATTCAAAAGGTAGATATACATGTTCACATTGTTTTAAACATGCCTGAAAGTTTTTCAGTAACACACTCAAGTACCAAAAAGTTATCTTCATGTAACAGTCAAATCTACTTTCATAAAACTGGTTCATTTCTTTAGAAGAATTATTTGATCTTGAAGCAAACTAGCTCAGTTTCAAAGCTGAGATAATTCAAGTTTGGGAAGTTCACTAATTCTGTGTCAACTCATTAACATTAATATTGACTTCAAAAGACTATTACATAAACCAGTAAGCAACTGTAAATTATGAACACTAGCAGAACATTCCTTAAATTTTACTTGCAAATTTATAGTGAACTGTCACTGTCAATTTAAAATAAAATCTTTGATGTTTTATTTTAGAAAAATATGCAAATTATAATCAGTGGTTTGTATTATGGAAAGTTTCCACTTTAACACAAATATGTGTGATGTTCTGAATTATGTTCCACAAGAAAGATACTTTGGGTTCTTAATCCCCAGTGTCTCAGAACTTGATGTTTACCTGGTGAAAAGATCTCTACAGACATAATCAAGTAAAAACTGGTCCCATAGGACTGGCCTCCTCATAAGAAAGAGTTGCACACAGAGACACACAAGGAGAAGAGACATAGGATGGGAGGAGTTACGTACAAGGCTAGGGTTGTGGAAAGCAGCCGGAAGCTAGAAGGCTAGGACAGACACCTCACTATCAACATTAGAGGGTTCGTAGCCCCATATACATGGTGATTTCAGAGTTTGGGCCTCTAGATCTATGAAACAACAGTTCTAGGAAACTAATACAATACTTCTCTAAAGAAGCCACAAATAAGTTTTTCCTTTCATTGAAGCCTGAGTTAAGCTTTCCCATATGCGCTTCGATCGTGATGAGAAAGTATAATCCATGCTGCCAGGCTTTTATCTTTCATTACTCAGTATTTGGCAACTATCTTGTTTGTTTCAAGAAAAATTTGAGTTGGAATTGACAGCCTGTGACTTGACCCTGAGTACTGGCCTAGAGCCCAAGATCACGAAATTCATCATCTTTTATTTCTTTCAACAGTTCCATACATTTGTGATGATTCATAGCATTTGCAATTTACATTGCTTTGGGAGGAAGCCTACAGATACTTGGAAATAAAAGAAAAGGACTTTGTCACAGCATTCTGTTCTGGGCCCCAGAATGATCTAGAAAATGCTTTTGTTTTAGGCCTTCCTCAGAATTATCCTCCAACCCAGGCTTCCCACAGAGTCCCATCTGCAAGAAATGGGGAAGATTGCTTTCTTCCTCACAGCTTGCCTGGGAATTGATTTTAGATGACTTAGAAACCCCAGTCCACTTCCTGGCACTCACTTTGTATGTGGAAATGGGCTTCCCCTCTCCTGAGGCCCTTTTCACACTATCTCTTCAAATGAACTCTAGAAACTTTCAGTTACCCTCTTCACTGGCTACACCACCACTTGCTTTCTCATTTCACGCTGTGCTCACGGCAAAGTCGCTCATTCGAGCATAGGTTAACACCTGTGTGAAAATATTGTACAAAACATTCAGCCATACTTGTCTGATGGATGGGACTCCACAAAATACCCAGCAAAGGGACAGTAAATTCGGGGCTGCAGGTCCTTCACCAGCTGAGCCTTGTAATTCAGGAGCTTCTTCCTTTCTGTTTTAATGAATTGAGCTTTCCATTCCTCTGAAACGACAGGGTTTGGATTAGAGTCTCCTCTATTCAGAAATAACCAAAAAGCAAAAGATCAAATTGAGACAAAGAGAGCAAAAAAAAAGTTTTTGTGTCATTAATAGAGGACATCTCTATTGTGCAGATTTTAAGTGGTTACTAAGAAAATGTTAGCAGATTCAACCCCAAGTACTGAGTTCTCTCCTTGTTTATGATAATTTGTTTCAGACCCTAGCTGAATATACAAGCTATGCCTGGCTGCGTCCCAAGTGCAAGTGTATCTTAAGGGCACTGGAATTCTTATAATTATTTACCCTTTATTAATACGTTAATGACAGAATCTTATTGTGGTATAGAGTAAAAATTATTCATCAGCACCTGACGGAGGAAGATGATCAGGGGCACTGACTCATGGGTTAGTCAGACTTAGAATCAGTCCAGGCCCACCGTTACGGCTTGCGCAGCCCTGGGGAAGTGACCAAAGTTATCTTCATTTGCTTTCTCTTCTATAACACGATGCCTACTTGCCAAAGTAGTCATTCAGCTGTTGATTCTTTCAGCAGATATTTACTGTGCACCTTGTATGTGCCAGACATGGTTGGTTATTGGTACTAAGAGCACAGTCATGAAGCAAGTACCTGGTCTCATGAGGCACGCGCTGCAGTGTGAAAAGCAAAGAATGGATATGGAAATAAAGTTATTGCAAGGGTATATGAAGGTCATGCAAATGGGCAACAGGACAGGGAGTGTCTGTGTGAGGTAAACTGGGACAGAGGAGTGTTCCTAGACAGTGTAGTCAGGGGGCACAGGGCACTGGGGCTGAAGCACAGTTGAAAAGTTGCCAGCCCTCTGGAGGCAAGAGAAGCTCAGGCAGAGGAACAGCAAGTGCAAAGGCGCAGAACAAAAGCACAAGGTGCACTGAGTCTGAGGAAGAAAGAGTGGGCCAGTGCAGGTGGAGAGAGCACATCATGGAAGGCAGGCAGGCGAGGATGCCAGGGAATGGGGTAGGACCAGGGTGCAAGGGGCATAGTCAGGGAGCCGCTAGGTACTGTAATTATTCCTATAGAAGTTTGATAAACACAGAAACATAAATATAGAAAACATAGAAACATAAATGTTACTCATAACTAAGACACAATTATTATTGATATTTTGAACAATTCCAGACCTTTTTTAAATACATAGATGCACACAGGTACACATACACACACACACACACACACACACACACACACACAGAATGGAATTCTGCTAGTTAACCTTGAATAATTGTATTTTGCCTTTCCATTCACACAGTTAACTTCTTAAGGACAGAATTATCCCTCTGTCTGAAAGGTTACATATTCTGTACCTGTTAGAGAAGAATGTACAGTTAGAAAAAAAAGCAAGGAACCAGACAGAGGTGACTTCACCCTTCAAGTGGGGCATGTCTGCACACTTTAGACAACAATCACTTCTGAGTGCTGTGATTTATTCATTGGAAATAGCCAGCCCTTATCATGTTCTTGGGGGGATACCAAATGCATGTAAAGTACAACTTATACGCTTTCTTCTTGCCAGCCACAGCACCTTGTGGAAGGGCTCCTGTCTGGGCCCCACTTTTCAGGGAATTCCACCCTGAAGACCAGTTTAACTGGGTGCAGAGCTGGCAATAATTGATACTAATAAATTGGCACAAGAATAAATGGAGAGTATGTTCTAAGACTGCGTGACTTGTGGTGAGACCTGAGGTTTGCCTATAGACACATTAGGCTTTAAACCAAGGGCAGAGCTGAGACTAGCAGACAGTTTGCGATATTCTGGTGCCTCAAAGCAATATAAGTCAGCTGAAGACTTTGACTCATTCAAATTCCTAGCTCAATAGCTGCAGTTAGCAGACATTCCGGTTACTAGTTAACTATGATCTGCTCCTGTGTGCTTTTCCAAAAATTCATTGTTCCTTAATTCTTGGACCTTGACCACATTAGCATTTCACCTCCATCATTTTCTGCACTCTACTATCATGCCCACCAGTCAGGCTGGGCACATAATAAAAGTCAAAGACATCAATGACTCATGTCTTAATCTTTATTGGGCTTTGACTATCCCAGTGTCCCCTGTAACTAAAGTATATAGTTTTGTATATGTTTTATTCTGTCCTTGTACATCTGAGCAAGCGATGGGTGATCCTAGGACAAGGCTGGCATATGCCACTCCCTTGCTAAGCACCCTGCAGGACTGACAGGATATATCCTTGTTGAGATGCACACACTCCATGCTGGACCACATTCCGAGTACATCTGAGTCTGGATTACCGTAACCGCCTTTCCTGATCTGCCACTGGGTTCACACCATGAACTGACATGATCTTTCCCTGGGCTCCACCTAAGGCTTTCCCTGATCTCGATGGGTTTTTTTCTGCTCTACCATCACATTTTGAGCTAGAAAATTTAGTTTACAAAAGTTGTAGTTTACTTGTTTCCTTACAAGATCATAAATTTTTTGTGGGGAGAAACCATGTGACAGTTGTATTTGTTTTCACATGGTTGAGCCAACTGCTATGATCAGTTTTGGCATCACTTCAATATAAAATATTACCAGTGAATTTTCCACCGCTGAAAGTCATAGGAAAACCAGATGCTCCCCCAGCAAAATCACTCATCATGAGAGCAACCTTTTCTGGCAGCCTGCCCCCATTGGGCCTGGTGCAGTCCACTGTATTGAGTATTTTGTGGCCTGTGAAGATACAAAGCAGTGTGGATATTCAAGGTGAAATCTCAACCACTGTAATTTGAACTCCCAAACCAACAAAGACTTCTATGTGCACTATCTATAATCTCACTTATTTGATATAGAAGAATTCATTATTTCCAAGTAAAGACAAAGTATGACTTCCGGATTTAAAGTCTTCAACAGTATATTCTCAATTTTCAAATGAATACGTTCATCCCACTTGACTGAGTGGATTCTGGGTGTCTCAGGGGGATAGTAAGCTTGCTTGCATTTGAGATCATAGACTGTGTTTGTCCAGCTATCTCCAAGCTATCTCTAAAGGACCCAAGGGAGAGTGACTAAATCAATGAGAATCCTTCTATCTTTTGCAAATTCTATGCAAAACCCTTATTCAAATGGTTATTGGAATTATGAGGCCAGTATGAAAGGCTGAAGTGTTTGGTTAGGTTACCTAGTGATATTTCAAGGTAAAAATAACTAAAAATGTTTATTTAATAAAGGGAGTTTTGAAGAATTTATTGTGAGAAACAGAAAATAATCATTGCTTGATGAACAAAACAGCTTCACACCAGGCATCACATACACAACACAATTGTAATATATTGTCTGGAAAGATTGGATTGATCATCTTTTCAAAGACAAGGATATGTGATTCTATTACTATCAAATTTCAGGCCATTTTCACTGTCTTTTCTACCCAGAATGTCGTCTTGTCTCCTTGTTAAGGAGGATGAAAAAGTACCTTTGTACTCCACAATAATGCACGTGTCCATCTCAGGATGAACGCCATCCATCAGGATCATAAATCGAAGATTATTGTCTACCTGGAATTCAACAAGGAAAGCAACAACTGTTTATGTCACTTTGCCTCAATATCAAAAAGGTTGTCACTTCTGGAAAGACCTCAGATTTGAAAAATAAACCTCCTTTTCTGTCTTATAGGGTTATTCTATTGGAGAATGGGAAGAAACCTATGTTTTAACAAGGACAGTTATGTCCAACACTTGAAGTTTCATAAATGTTATATTTAATCCCTACATGAATTGAGCCACTTTCTCCCATTAGTAATAAGGTGATTATCCCACCTAAAATTCACCTCAGAATATATACCTGGAAAATATGAAGAGAAAACAGATTTCATACCTGCTGCCATATTCCAAATGGAACTACATTGATATTAGTTAACCGGACACCACTCTGATTCAGATTCCAAAACACAGGTCTTTCTGTGTCACCAACATAAATGGGAATATCTTCTCTTCTTTCTGAAAGCTTCTTTAGTGTTGGGTAACTAGGATTAGAAGAATGGAAAATTTGGAAGATGAAAAACTAGGATAATCAGACAGTTTGACTGAAAAGGAAGGAATTTTAGAACATAGGACTCCCACCAAAGCCCTGACAAGAGTTTCCACTCAAGGCTGAGTACAAGGATGAGTGGTACTTCCTAGGAGAGTCCTCTCTATTTTTGGAAACTGTCTTAGACCATGTGGGGTATTTCTAGTAGAGGGTACAGTGGGAAAAGCTAAGCTGCAGAGGCTGGTAGTAGATGATAATCACCATGATCTTCATTTCTTCCTTTCCCAACGTAATAATAAGAAAGAATACTGGACTATGAGATAGAAAGATCCTGATGATCACCCATTTTGGGGGGTCAGCTTTACAACCTTTAAAAACTGATAGGACCACTTTGATATACAGAATGTACTTTTTATGCTTAAAGCAGATCCAAATTACTATTTGGGCAAGACTAAAATTTAATACAGTATAAGGGAACACTACATTCCATGCTCATAGTAATCCCAGCTCAGTTCATGAGCCATCATCCAGGTATCTTTGAATAGCGATGTACATGAAATTGACTTCCTTTTATGGAACATGCATCATATAAGAGGATTGCTGCGTACCATTGTGAGGTATCACTAAGCCAATGTCTAGGAATCCATTGCATTTCAAATGCACACAAGTGTTAGGCACTTTCATATGTTTGATTTTTACACAATGTTCTGAGGGAGGCTGTTTTGATAGATGAGGAAACATGTTCAGGAACATACAACTAAATAATGTACAAATAATAAGTTGGTAGTAAAATTTAAATTTTCTGAATCTAAACCTAGTACTTCTTTTTTTTTAACATTTATTTATTTATTTTGTGTGTGTCGGGGGGGGGGGGCAGCTCAGCCCACCAGGAGGCAGGGCAGGGCTGGCTGGCATGTGGTGCTGGGGATTGAACCGCGGTCCCTATGCTTTGCATAGCTTAGTTTGTTCCAAGTAGGCACTTTGGACCACTGAGCCATCTCACCAACCTAAACCTAGTACTTCTATTGGAAGTTTGTTTCTAACATTAATGAATATTACTCTCTAGTAGAAGAATTAGACTAGTACATAAACTATAACATCAGGTGAAATGAAACATAATTATGTGTGAATAAAATCTATATATCAGCACTTGCCAACTACATTAATATTCATATTCTAACACTGTGTTAAAAGCTGTCTAAGCAGAATCCCTGGTGGGACCTCAGTTCCCCCAAAAAACAAAGGATTTGAAAAATCCTGGAAGTAAACTTGCATCTTTTTTTTTTTTTCTCCAAATGCCTTCAGGGCAGGTTTAGCTTACTTGAGTTGTGGGGCTTGAACCACAGCAACCTGAGCCTGACTGCTTTGTTGAAGCAGCTGCTTAAAGAACTGAGCTACGGGGCAGGCCCCCTTGCATCATATTTTTGATGCAAAGATTCTTTGAACATGCCTTCAATCTTTCATTTGAACCTTGTGTTTTAAAAGACTTTGAGAGCTAGAATAAATTACCCAATATGTATATTTATTACTTTATGATTTTTTGATCATCCTTATTGGCATTTATTAACAATATTATCTATTACAATATTCTATTTATACAGTAAAATCATATTTTTGGGTTTACTCACTGAAGTAAATGGCCCTTTCTTCTTGTTTTTGTGCCTCGGGGAGCTTTTATTCAGTATGTGAAGGTCAGGCTATAGGAATGGGTACAAACGACCTCAACATTTATTAGTTGACTATGAAAATGTCAAAAAGCAAAAGTTTAAGGAAACAGACTCAAATTTGTAAACATGGCTGCTCCTGCGGCTTTTCAGAGATTAAACTCAGACACACACTGAACAATGGCTTGTGATGTTTTAGTGCATAACAACTTTGTCCCACACAAAGGCATGAAACTCAATCTACATTGCCTTTTAGGCCCTTAGTTAAAGAATGACATGATTAAATGACATTAAAAGTTTTGACTTGCCCTAAAATTCAGTATATGACCACATAAGAACTCTCATTAGGATTTTAGGCAATTGTATTTTATAACAAACACTGTGGGCCATTTACATGATATTGTTAGCATTATGCTATCACAAGTCATACAAAACACACACAATCCAGGATATTACTACCATATAATCTGTATATAGCATAAGACCAAAGGGCTCTCATATGCCCAAAATGATGCAAGTTTACTTCCTGGAGCTTTTGTGAGATTAATGCTTCATACAATAGACAAGAAGATTTTTAGTTGTAGAACCACAATACCATAGTGGGCTCTGATCAGTCAAGTGCATTGCAAGTAATTTGTTTCTAAATCAGTTAATTAAATATTTCAATCACTCTCTTTAAGAAATAATAAGGTAGCCAGGTGTGACGGATGAGCACTCAGGAGGCTAAGGTAGGAGGGTTTCTGTGAATTCCAGGCCAGCCTGGGCTACATAGTAAACTCAAGGGCCAGCCTGAACTACATAGTGAGCTCTTGTCTCAAAAAATAATAATAATGATGAAGAGGATATTCTTGCCTTGCAATTCTGAGAATAGAAAATCAAGGTACCAGTCAACCAATGACCAATGTATCCTTAACCAAGGATATTTCTGTTTCAGTGTGTCTACATGTGAGCTTTGAAGAAAAAAAAAGGTGAAATTGCAACATTGTAGATAGCAGTATGTGTTTACATAGGTAAATCTAATAATTCAGTTCATTCCTCCAAACTGTGTAGTTTCTTAAGTGAAAAATCTCCTCCCTCTTCCTTTCAACTCTGTGGACGGGGAAATTGCAGCTGACCATCTGCATGTACCATGCTGCTATGGTTTCAGTGAAGGGCTATACAACTCAGCCTGTTTCAGTTGAGTCACGAGTTAATAAACTGGGAGCACGGGATGCCATAAATCAGGGTTTGGCCATCCAACGTGTGGGACAGATCTCACCTGCTGCTTTCTTTGTGTAACCTTACACACTGTGGCTATTTTTCACCTTTTAAAACAATTGAAAAGAAAATCAGAAGGAAAATAACATTTCCTGACACAGGAAAATGATACTGAAATATTAACCATCAATAGAGTTCTATTGTAATAGGATGATTCTTAGTCAGGCTGGCACTGAGCCACTGAGGAATCTCCCCTGCCTGTGATTCCTATTCCGGGCTGTCTATGCTGATCTTGTTCTGTGGTAGAAGAATGAGTTTATTGAAGCACTAATTATGTAGGTTGCAAAGTCTAACACATTAATACTGACTATACATAATATGTGCTGATTCTGCTTTAAAACTGAACTGAAAAATAAAAGCTCAATTCTGATGATACTTCCACCTAGACTTGTACCAAATGTCTAAGAGAAGGAAGTGAGAGGGTTATAAACTCCAACTTCTTTCTGGCAAGAGCCCCTTCTTCATTCTCAATGTTACTTCAACTTGCAAATTCATGAATCCTCTTTCCATCATTCCAACTAAATCTAGTCCAAAGTGAGTGGTGATTGCAGAAGACTCTGACAACACTTTTGCACAGCAGCATCTCAGGAGTTGCAGGACTCATTACCTTAGGTGATCTGAATGCATGTGGCTGATGTAAATTAGGTCTGCTTTACACAGCCTCTCCAGCCAATCAGATGGAGGCTCATGGAGCAGCCACCATCCTCGGGCAAACGCAGGACCAACTAACCAGGGATCAAACACCATTCTCTTGTCTCCCAGTTTGAGGTCCATGCAGGCATGAGTAAGATATGTTACCTGTTAGAAGAGAGTGACATTCCTATTACTCCATCCTTGCTGGTCAGCATCAATGAACTGAAAGGTTTTGCCTGTTTCACTGACAAGTTTGGTTGAAGAACTTTGTTGTTAGTTAAGGTGGCCAGCAACAGAATCTCTGACTCAACTACATCACCACAGGAGTTTTGTGGACACAATTCCCAGCAGAGACTGTGACTGTACCAGAACAGAAATTCTCACAGTGGATTTTAGGTGTCAAACTAATTGATTTATCCAATTTCACTCTATTTGAATTCACTCATAATTTCTATTAGTTCATTGAAAGGAATAGTTAGTGCTTATATTGTTTGATCAATTTTACAGGCTTGTGTCCAGTAATCTGAGCAATGACTTTGAATATAACAATATGCAATACAAGAACCATTGTTAATTTCCTATGAAGTTCACTCCTAAGCACTTATTCAGTCTTCACTGAAGAGTATCTTTTGGAACCAGTCTTTCAAACCACAGCAAAATGTTATAATAAGCATTTCACAATGTAGATGTCAGACAGGCTGTGACTGGGAATATAAATGAGTGATTTTTGAATGAGCTGACTGGGTGAGACAGACATACAAGGCAGACTTACAACCAGCAAACAGGTGAGCATGGCTTCCTCTTCTAATTTACCTGCAAATTGACCCTTTTAGATGGCAAGGTCACCTGAGCCAGTCTAAAAACAATGACTTATAGATATGCACCACTGGGGAATTCCAAACCCATTCCCATGCCCTGGCTTCCCTCACTGTGGTGTCCACAGAGAAGAAACATGGCCAGCAGCAGAGATACTTAGCAGGACCTACAGTGTGAAAAGGCAGCAGAACAGGAGAGGAGAGGTCAAAGAATTCATGTAGTATATTTTATGCATGTTTGGGGTAGGTTCCCATTTGTTTCCTCAAAATACAGCTGCCTCTAAAGACACAAGATTCCCCTTACACAGGAAAAAGTGGATTTTTGATCAACTCCCAAACTACTGAGGTATATGCTGCAAAAGAAACTCCTTTATAAAGCTGGTAAAATGTATAAGAAGTCTCATAAAGCTCTCATGGGCTGGGGAGATAGCTCAGCAGAATAAGCACCTGCCTGGCAAGCACAAGGTCCCAGGTTCAACCCCCAGTACAGAAGAAGAGGAAGAAGAAGAAGAAGAAGAAGAAGAAGAAGAAGAAGAAGAAGAAGAAGAAGAAGAAGAAGAAGAAGAAGAAGAAGAAGA